AGAATTTACTCAATCATGATAAAGGTTACAAGATACAGTATTTAATTTTTAAAAATGCAATCATCTACCTCTAATTGCCAGATATGTTCTCTTCAATTTCATCAAATAGGTAAAAATTTGAAGATAAGATATTGATTTCTTAATCTATTTCTTAACTTGGCTTTTAGGATACAAAAAATGGAGTATATAAATAGTAACTTTTATTATATTGTTCTTAAACAATAAGGATCAAAGAAAATGATTTGTGGATTGGTTTACCAATATCAATGTATATATTCTTATCTCAACCTCTTTTTATTTCTAAATAGAATTAAATCTATTTTTCCTTCTTCTATATTTCCCAAGAAAGTGATTCAATAGTTTATCTTAAAGATTTTTCCTTTCTACTGAACATTAATATTTTATTCTCATATATAATATATACTGATGTTTTGAGAACTTTTACAAGGAAGCACAAGTTAACTATTAAAGGTAATGACTAAAATTTCCACATTTTTCAAGAATCTAGATAAAAGCATCTGAAATATAATTGATATTATACAAAAATTATTGGGGGATCTGAAATATAATCCAACCAAATATTGGTAATTTTACTATTATATATGAGTAGGTATTTAATATTACTTGAAAAGTTTTAATGAATATCTTGAACAAAATTTTCTTTCTCTTGTATAAGTTACATAGTAAGGAATTATATATATATATTAATTATCTTATTTACTCATTTATTTTCTGACCTTCTTTCTTCCTTCCTCTTTAAAAATTTTTTTAGCTCTAATGATTTTTCACTAATTCTTACTTTAAAGATAGCAATACACTTAAGGATAACCAATATAGTCATATTGTTTGACTTTATAGATCTAAAATTATATTTTTAATATGTACTATATTTATATTTAAAAACTATATCTAATAAAGTAAAGGCTGAGCTGGTGGTTAAAATAAAAAAAAAAATTTTTTTTTTTGCTTATATAAATAGTGTTGGGTTTAAATAGAACATATTATTATAAGTTATCATAATATTAATTTGCATACATATAAAAATATATAGTTTGTAAATTATTTATTCAATAAAAGCTTATATTTAATGTTAGTTATAATTTTAAAAATTACTTTTAAAATAAAATATAATTATATAAATAATTGATTTATTTTAATTAAAAAATATTTTTTAATAGAATAATTTTTGCATTTTTTTTTATATTATTGTATATATTGTGTATTTTTAATTTTCCTTCTATTTTATTTATTCCTTTTTCTTATATAATTTAATAATTTCGTAATTAATAAGTTAATAAGATAATCAACTTAATACTTAAATTTAGTAAATTAAAAAAATATTCTATCAAATTCAAAGAATATAATATTGTTTTGTAAATTAAACTTAGAGATACCTTTACTAAGAAGTTTACCAATAGCTTTAGTGGTAAATGATCATAATGAGATAAAACACGTATTAAAACTGCAAAAGGATATCAGTAATTAATATTTCACAGGGCTTAGGAAAAATTGGGAGTATAGTTCACTTTCATATATAATTATTCTTCTATAATGATTGCGCCAATTACATAGATAGGAAAATGATAATGACATTTTCATTAAGTAAAGGTAAAACATATGGCACAGATATTACTAGTTACAATACAAGAAGAAATCTTACAAAGAAAAAAAATTATACAGAATACACAGTATATAATATACAGTCTCACGTAGGCGTCCATCACGTGATAAAACAGCATCATCCTTATTAAAGCAAGTGGTAACAAAGTTGCAGAGGCAATCAAACCTATGCAATATTCGAGCTTGTATTTTTCACGGAACACAAACCCAACGCCGGATATTTAAAAAAGAACTAGTTGTACACTGACAGTGCAAGTTACTAGCGTCTTTTTAACTCGCGAAGTCAAGTTACAGAATTCAATGTCAATTTTTATTATGCCTCGAAACTTGAAGGAAAAAAAAAGACGCTTAAAAATATCCCTCCACTAGTTCTTCACTGAAGGACAAAATCTGCACTGTCTGTGTGAGCTGCTTTTTATAAACAGTTCGGTTTAAAGATAAAAAGAAAGGAGTTTGAATAAATGTCCAACAGAAAGTTTATAGAAAACTTCTAAATTTTTTAATTCCTCGATGAAGATTCTATAGTAGCCGCATTATATTAAACAATGTATTATATCAAAAATTACAAACATAAAAATATTCTAATTAGTCAAATATTATTTTCTTTTTGCAAGGTATGATACGTTTGGCATTAGGGTTGAACACGCCACATTTATAAACTTCCCGGTAATCTTGATGAAAGTATTTACGAAGTTCACCCATGCATCTCAAAACCTGCTCCTTTCTTTCTTCAATCCATTGTTTCTTTTCATTTTCTTTCAACGAATCATATTCCATCTTTGTGAGTTCTATGTCGGGAATCCAGTAGATAATATAAATTTTGTAATAAAAGAGTCTAGTATATGGAACACATCCGATGAGTTCACGAGGAATACACCTCGGCCGTTCATCTTTTCTGTTTCACGTGCATGTTTGAAGAGAGTGTCGATGTATTAGCTCGTATAATAATTGTTGTTATCAAAAAAGTAAGTGAATTACTCACATAGTATGAATGGTATTTTTACGAAAACATGACTCACAACTCACAATTCTCGATGGCCAAATGTCATACAAGTATTGTTTGTAACTTTTGGAGCAAAATTGACAAGTTTTGGGTAATAATGTTAGCCAAGTATATTCTTGTTCTGACATGTCAAAAGGCGGTGGCAGTCTCGGGTAGGATAAATGATGAACCCTGGAATATTCCCAAATGGCTTGCGTCGTCGTTGAGGTTGACCATAACATATTCCGAAAATATTTGCATACTGTCGAGAGGGAATAAAGATCTTGTGGAGGAAGATGCGAACATATTTCTATAAAGACTTCTGGTGGAATAATAAACTTTATCTCGGTATTCGATGTTGGTGGTGGTGGTGATGGAGAGGATCGGGAGTATATGCTAGAAGATTTGGAGTATGTGGAGGGTGATTCGGAACATGCGGTGGAGGATTTGGAATATACAGTAGAAGATTTAGAGTACGCGATGGTGGAGGGAGAGTCTAAGAGTTGGTCGACTTGTAATACTTGATCCTCGGATCTTAATGATGTATCGATTTTCAACTTTTTCTGCTGAGATTTTGGCTTTGACTTCTAATCATAATATAAAATAGGCGTCAGTTTCGAAGCTAGACATAAACTCAAAAGGAAGACGATTACGTTACTTGTATTCGAAAAAACAACCGAGAAATTTTTCTTGACAAAGCCATATGAGCCAGCTGAAGAGGTTGTTTCTCCAATTCCGTCGTTTTTAAAATGCAGCACGAAATTATGAATGCATGTCGATCTCATGCACGAAAACCAAAACTAATGCGTTTTATTCGTTTTAGTTAAGTATAAACGTTTCACAGACACATTAATGTCACAACCAATGTCTTTGCAATTCATATTTTTTAAAAAAATATCACCTTAAAAAAGAAATTATCGTAATTTAAAAAATATCACCTTAAAAAAGAAATTATCTTAATGAAAATTTTTATAATTTATAATTTAATTGAATACTACAGCTAAACTTTCTTATTCAAGTCTAACAAACTTGTTGTAAATAATAATAGCTTCAGAGTTTAATCTTGGGACAATATTTTGCTTTGTAATAGACTTTGGGCAACAACTCTCCGAGTTTACGCATCATACCAGCAGGTTGTTACTGCTATAAATAAATGTTTGCATAATTTTACTTGAATATTATAAATAAAAGTTGTTTTCATAAATTAATATATAAACAAATTTTTTTTATTTATTTATAACTATATTATTATCATTTATTTTTATTAGATAACAAATAAAACCAAACTAATATTACAATAATATTTTTATATAACAATTGATTTGTTTTATATATTATTAACTAAAAATCTAAACTATTAAAAAAATAAGAAAGTTTATTAAACTAATTCAAATTAAACAAAACTTAGTTTAAATCAAATACTTTAAGTTTAATTTAAATAACAAAGTTTTGCTTTTTTTTAATTCTTGCATTTGAATTATTAAACCAAAAAAATTTTATTAATAATTTGTTACTATTAATTTTTTTTTTTTTTTTTAATCCACAATCATGCCACAATTGCATGTCTTTATTGAGATATTGAGAAATTCCTAAATATTTTACAGATTTCACAAAGCGACTAACTGGTTATTGTATATTATTAGTTAAAAGACTACACTACTTAAAAAATATAAGGAGTCCACTAAGCTAGTTTGGATTAAACAAAACTAAGTCTAAACTAAATACTTTAAGTCAGATTTAGGAAACAATATTTCACTCTCCTAATAGCTTGACAAAAGTGCCTCTAAGTCAATCAGAGTCATTACCAACAGTTTGTCACTATAGATTATTCCAAAAAATGATGAATTGTTAAAGTTGGCACTGGAAAAAAGGGAAAAGAAGAATGCAAATCAAAGCCCTCCAAAAGGTTCTTACTTCATTTCATAATTTTCTCTCGAAAGGGGTTTGCCTGATTGGGATATTCTCTAAGCTTCATAATGTTTGAGGAACTTAGCCATTTCTGAAAATGACTTCAAGAAAAATGTTTGAGAAACTTATCCTTCTTCCAATGTATGGATTTGTTTATCGCTATTAAGACCAGCACCATATTAAGAAGAGTTTGCCTGATCAGGATAAAGAAATTTTTTCAAGAACTTTGCTTAACCGGAATAGAAGCTTGGAGACCTTAGCTTTTGTCCAAGAAAGTCTTTTCACCACCTGAGGAACTTAATGAGAAATAGGAGTTGAATCTTCTTTTTATATCCATCGCTTGTCTTTCAATATCATAATTGTTTCCTGAAGGTTAAACATATACGATTGGAGGGAACACTTTTTCTAGAACTTTCTTTCCTACATCACCAATAATGTATCAAAACATATGAGTGTGACCAATAGGAGCTTGTTTACATTCCAAAAACTGATATATTTCGTGTCAGCCAATCACCTTTGGTGAGGATTTGTGCTATCAAAAATTCAGAATTAAACTGAGGTAGGCAAAATTTCCCAAAAAACCATGAGAACGATAGCTCTAAGAGGTCCACAAGTAACTGAAAGGGGAAAAATAAGCCCTTCTATCATCAAAAACCTCTATATATCTTCCACTTCAAAGATTAAATAGGTCTTCAGGTACTTCACAATCAGTTCTTCTTTCTTTGGAAACTTTCTTACCATTGGTATCAAAGATATTGCTTGACTTTTCTTGATCATCAGGAGTCAAGTTTTTGAGTGAAAAGGTTTATAAACAATAGGGGAAGGATAGAAGTGACTCTTGAAGTCATACTTCAAGTTGATTTAAGGAAAGTATTAAGACTTTATTAGCAAGAAAGTATAAAAACTTCTTGCAAACATCTTTTTTGTGTGTGATCAAAGGATCAATGAAAAGAATTTTATTAATTAATTTGTTACTATTAATTATCTCAAAGTCCAAAAATTATTAATATATATATATTTATATTTAATTATTTTAAAAAATGGATATTCTTGAATTCTAAAAACTTTTTTATAATTATTTGAAATATATATATTTTTATTAATAAACTATTTTTATTTTATTTTTTAATCTTCTATTAGGCTAGTTATATATACTTTATCAAGCTTATAATAAACTGTATATTTAATATATTACTAAAATTAAATCTTTAACCAATTTACTTATTTTAATTAATAATAACTTTAAGTATAACTTTAAAAATAATTTATTATTTAATTAATAGTTCAGATAAAGATTTTTTTAACTATTAATATTATTGTCTAAGATTATTAATATAGATCAATATATAAATTTACTTATTATATATTTTATATTAATATTATTTTATAAAAGATTTTATTTAATTGTAATAAATAAAAATATAATTTTTAAAAATTTATTTAATTACAATATATATATATATATATTTTTAAACCCTCTGTTAGGCTAGGTATGTGGGCTTTATTAAACATATGTATACTTTATATTGAAAATATATCACTAAAGCTAAGTCTCTACCTAACTCACTTATCTCTATTTTAAGAATTATTAAAACTCTAAGTGCAACTTCAGGAGTGATTTATTATTCCATTAACAGTTCAGGTAAAGACCCTCCAACTGTTAACTTCATTGCTTGCAAATTACTACTGCAGATCACTCTGTAAGATTCTGACAGAGCTTAAAACCCAACCATTTTATTCCATACTCTACTCTTTTTGTTAAAATTTCTTGGAAGCTTTTATCTTCAAGGTTTTCTTCTTCAAGTAGTAGATTTCTTTTCTTCAGAGTTATAGTTTTCTTGCCAAATAAATAAGGAGGTTTTTTTATCTTGTTTTCTTTATTAATTACTTGTGTTCATTCTCATTTAATTATCATTTCACATCTCTTGTTTCAGACTTCTTTTCAGACTTGATTTCAAACTCTTTTTTACATTTTTATTATCCACTTTTTTGCTATTCTTTCTATATATTTATCTTGATATTTTAGATTTGTTATTTTTCGAATAAGGTCAATTCTTATAAGGCCAATACAAAAACTTAGCATATTCTGACTAGTTTCAAAAGTCTGTTCCATTACTTTAGTGATCCACTTGTCAAACTCACCTATTTTTTATGGTTACTAATAATCAGCCTAAAATTTTTCTTTTCAGCCTTTCTCTTTCTTTTCTACAATAGATCTTTAAAGTTTCTTATAATTTCATTTACTTTTTTATTCCATTTCTCTTGTAGCTGATCCTTATAGGCTGAAAATTCTAGCAAGTGTTCTATAGTTTCATCTTGTTGGCTATATACAATATATTTCATTTGCTTATATAAATTAGGTCTTCTTATAGCTAATTTACTTAAGATAAGTAGCTTATCATTGACCAGTTTAATAAAAAAGCTTCTTTGTTGAGATTGTTTAAAGGATATATCCCATATGTATCTATCTTTAACCCTTTTCTATATTAGGACCATGTGTAAACCTGATATTCTGAAATCTAATAACTCCATTTTTTCTTTGTTCTGTTTTGTTGTGTCTACTGATAAGCTATTATCTTATTATTGATATTTTTAATAAACTGCCTAATTGGATTATTTAGAGTTGTCCCTTGTTACTAAATTTCAGTAATAATTTTGTATGAAGTAAGATCTTTTTATTCAATCAGTAGAAATTTTAGAGCTTCCTTAACTAAGATATTTGTTTCTTTATTATAAGGATTATTTGTATATGCTTTGATTTTTGTGAGCTTTAGATCTATATTTTTCTTTTTTATTAGCTCTACCATGCATACTCCAAGTGACCAATTTTTTTTTTGAGTCATCTCTTGTGTGTCCTTCTTGGATCTTCTTTTTTTAAAGATTTCCACTTAAAGATATATACCTGATTGTCTGTAAAGATTTTCACCATGCTTTCTATTGAAACTATCAGAAGAATTGTTATGATTGTTACCAATTTTACTCATATAGATGAGGGCCACTTGTCTACTCCTGTTTGGAACTTGCTTTCCATTCCATCTTTGCCAATCTGAATCCAAGTTGCATCCATCTTCATTTCTTCTTTACCATGATTAATAAATGATCCATCAGAATAAAAGATTAGCTTTTCTTTTGATTCGAGATTACATTGAAGTATAGCTATCAGATGATCTTGATATGCATCTTCTTTAATATTTTCTCTAATAATAGATTCTTCCCAGATTTCAATGTTCACGTGCTGTTGTTTTGAATCTTGAATGGGCTTTGGTCTCTGTAAATCACTTTTTTAATCCTTTTTTCAAGTGCTGATCTAGGATTAGGGATTTTTAAATCTCATATTCTTCTAGTGAACTTTCTTGTATTGAGGTATGGTATTGTATATATCTCTTTTATTCCTCTTTCTATAATACAGTCACCATTCATTATTGTATCTTCTGAACATCTGAGCATTTTTGTATATTAGTTTCCTGGTCATTGTTGGTGTTGCAACTAACAAAGTGCTCCACCATCATAATGTTTTTCTCTTTTTCTTGTCTTAATTTTCCCTATATTACTAGATTTTTTTTACTTCTTATCACTATCCACAATTTTTTCTGCTTGTCTCGATTGACTTCTATTTT